TTTAGACAATATCATGCGCTAAATACATCGTTAACGCCTGAAGAAATACAGACTTGAGAATTGATACCTGTAACAGTTTCTGCACACAAACGAAAACATTTTGATTCCACTTATGCGCACGAAGTTGTTTCATATTTTAAAGTTCACCTGTGTCTGTTTAAAGTGAAAATGCACTTTTACAGACTGTTTTCAACCCAACATATACACACGTTCTTGGAAAGGTACTATATATCATAAATTCACTTCCATGTAGATTTAAAATATAAACAAAATATTTTATAAGAATTAGAAAACACACCGTAAAATATTACTGTTCAACAAGTTTGTGTACATTTTCTTAAACATAAACGATAAAACCTTCTCCATTATCATAATAAATCTCTGCTAAATCCACAGATGCTTCCTTCCACCTGACACATTTTGTGAGTGGCTGATGCTACCGACATAGCTGGACATGCTTCTGTGAGATTTGCTGATCTCACATTATTTCCCGGAACAATGCCTCCTGGATTATATTGATTTTTGTGTGTCTATAGCAGCAAACCAAACATATGCCTTATTTGTTACAAAACCTAGAATACCCGTTACTCGTGCAATATTTATAGCTCAACAAATTTTAGCAGCCGCAGGATATGATCAACACTTGTTCAAGAGTGACTCCTTTAGGATCGGGGCAGCCACATCTTACACTTTTCCTGTTTAATTGGCTACATGTCCCATTGGCTTCCACCTATGTGTTCTCTGTCCATCGTGTTGTGACAGTATTATCCTTCTGTTGTCAACACTTACTTATGTTATCCCACTCATGTACGCAATTTTTGTTACTGTTAATCCTCTACTGTTAATCCTCCACCTACACACACCTAACAACACCAACCACATACGCCTCCAATAAATTGAAGAATTTGTACACAAACATACCAGAACATAAAATCAAACACGTATATTTGCAATAGTAAGGCGAATGATTTGAAACCGGGTCCTTTTGGCCTACGAGGGTGGAGTGCTCTTAGCCTTGAAAGGGTGGGTGGGGTGACTTGATCCTAGGATCTAATACCCTTGATTGAGTGAGTGAGTGAGTTGGGTTTAACGCCGCTTTTAACAGTATTCCAGTTATATCGCGGCGTGTCAGCTTAATGTGGGAGGAAAGCCCGAAGTGATGCAGGTCTCAGACGTTTACCACTTCGGTGAAACCAACGAGCACGGGTATGGTGCTGACAAACCTAGAAACATAATCAGGGCGAACCGGGATTCGAACCCACAATCATAGGTTTCTGGCGTGCCCAAGGGACGCAACTGCCCCCGTGCCCCCCTCTAGATTGAACTCAGCCTAGGCCCAAATCACTCTTAAGCGATTTAAGCCGGAGATTGAGTAGCATCTTTCAGGGAGAACAGTTTACTGGATCCTGGCCAAAAGAGCTACTTCACGCAGCCGAGGTCGTTCTGTCCTGTGGTTGCCTGCAAATGAATCCCATCAGTGGGCCACCGGTGGGCCAACAAAAACTTTAGACTTTTGTGTAACAATATGCCAACTGAGCAGACATTACCGAAATCTTGATGAAGTTCATCATTAATAACGTGTATACTTATACATTAGTGTTAACTGCGACTATGCATAACTTTGTGTTTAGTGCATGCCACGTCCCTGGTAGACTGAATGTCAAAGCAGATGCATTGTCTCGTTTTCAGATGGCCAAGATTCGCCAACTTGCTCCCAGAGTAGACACGTTCACAACATCATGGCCCAAACAGCTTACCATGCCACCACCACAGATGTAGACAGTCTGTGGAGCCATGCAGTCTTAGAGTGAAGCAGTGTTGCGTGTCGCTCAGGGTTTACCCCCACTTTCCCAACAATAGAAGGATCAACTCGGGTATTCCACCGTCAGGGGTGGCTGCCAGTGAGATCAGTTCACCCTGCGCTTAGAGTTGACTTTCTCACTGACCGCCTCCGTGGTCTAGTGGGAGAGCGTCCGGCCGGAGAGCGGAAGGTCCGGTGTTCGCTTGCGTTATTTCATTTCTCCCGTGCGGAGAATTTACCTGTGACAAGTACAATGCTTCCTTCCACCTGACACATTTTGTGAGTGGCTGATGCTACGGACATAGCTGGACATGCTTCTGTGAGATTTGCTGATCTCACGTTATTTCCCGGAACAATGCCTCCTGGATTATATTGATTTTTGTGTGTCTATAGCAGCAAACAAAACATATGCCTTATTTGTTACAAAACCTAGAATACCCGTTACTCGTGCAATATTTATAGCTCAACAAATTTTAGCAGCCGCAGGATATGATCAACACTTGTTCAAGAGTGACTCCTTTAGGATCGGGGCAGCCACATCTTACACTTTTCCTGTTTAATTGGCTACATGTCCCATTGGCTTCCACCTATGTGTTCTCTGTCCATCGTGTTGTGACAGTATTATCCTTTTGTTGTCAACACTAACTTATGTTATCCCACTCATGTATGCACTTTTTGTTACTGTTAATCCTCTACTGTTAATCCTCCACCTACAATATATATTCTGTTCAATGTCCCTCATTCAGTCTTGCTTGACAACGTATAAGGATCTATTACCGAAACGTAGCTTTTTAGAGTATTAAAGAAGTTGTTATCTATAGAGTTGTGTCTACCTAGCCACATCTGCTTCCAAAGCAGTGGACCATCTTGCTAAGACATTGGGTGGATGGTCATCTGACTGCTATGTTACATCCATAATGGTTATAAAATCCTCTATTGCCCGGGCTCAGTCCTCTAGAGTTAACTTGCTGTTCTGTTTTTCCTTTGGGTATTATCCTCGTCATGCTCAATAGGATTTCCCCTCAGTCACAAGTGGTTGAGGGTATGCACTGGACAAGCAGTAATAGGTTTGGGTAATCATTAAATACAACATGAGATAATTTTGCTCAGTAGTGTAGTTGGTTGTGGACAAAGATTACAAACAATCCACAACTGATCCCAAGCTGCTGCTTAGTACATATTCCTAAGTCTCTGTGTCCGGTGCATACTATCTCAAATACAGAAGTGTCGTCAACTGTACATGTCGCGGACTGAACATTTAAGCCCCTAAATGGGGTTCATGTCATGTACACACATTTGCTGTGTTATTTCCTGTTTGTACAATGTTTGCCTGTTGTTTTTAAGACATACATTTGTTATTTTACAAGCAAACTAGTTTGATATTCACAATCTGGGTTTGAGTTAACAAGACCTTACACCAACATTGCAACCTACATACTGAAGGATAAACAGCCCATTTGTAAACAGCTGCAATGGATCAATCGTTTTATGGACTGACTTTTACATTGAATATATATGTACTATATAAGTTGTTCTTTAAAATATTAAAATATTTTTACATAGTATTACCTAATCACATTGGAATCACCAAGTATGTCCACGAAGGAACTAGCGTTGTACACCTATATGTAAGGTAACAGTAATGAATCAATCTACGTAACAGATAATTTATATGTGTACTGGTCGCTAGGACAACCAAGGTCATCTCTTGTGTTGATATGGTGTACTTGTGTTACACGCTTTTATCAGCCCAATTTGGCTTCCACGGGATATATCGCTTGGGTGATATCACTCGATAAATTCTAGGAGATATTGTTGCAATGAAATTGCATCACAATGCTTTGCATGCCCTTGTGGCGTCATCACCATGACGTCAGAATCAATTGATCCGGGGGGGCGTTGCAAACAGTCAATCGCTTGAAAGCGATGTACAGCGATTCGCCTTACAAGCTGAGATCGCTTCGATCTCAAACCAAAATGGCGGCTGACAGAAATTTGAGTTTGACAGCGGAACAAGAAATTCATGACAACTATCATGTATAACCCAAAACTTGCTTCCACGGGCGATATCGATTGGGTGAGATATGTTATCTTCAATGCAGGACGCTGTGACGTCATCGGCTACCATGAATCAAATGATATCACTCATCTCTATCACTGACGCTGGTTACCTGTACGTTTACACACACGGTACTTGTGATTACTGTTTACACATTGAATGGTTGGCGGAATGATTTTGGATAATAATATGATTCTCTATCTACTTTAGAAGACAATGGGCAGGATATATATACGCAAGCCTTAAGGCAGGTGCTGGTGCTAACGGTAGAGCGACTTGTAAGAAGAGGACTTTAGCAACCCATGCTTGCTGTAAAAGGCGACTATGCTTGTCGTAAGAGGCGCAAACGGGATCGAGTGGTCAGACTCGCTGACTTGGTTGACGCGTGTCATCGTATCCAAATAGCGTAGATTGATGCTCATAATATCAATCACTTGATTGTCTGTTCCAGACTCGATTATGTAAAGGCAGCCGTCATATAGCTGGAATAATGATGAATAACACAACACACAAACTTCTTCTTTTCGCGAGAGCCTGGTGACGTCGCAAGATTTCGGTAATCCATTTTTGTGGTTTTCTCCGCTGTTTCGCAGTTTTCGCCAGTGGAGACTGTTTAGGAGGATGGTCTGGACTGATTATTCTCTGGCGTTGATGTTTTGTATTATATTAATATGCATTTTAGTATTATACTAAAATGCATTTTAGTATTATATTTATATGCATTTTTGTATTATATTAATATGCATTTTAGTATCATATTAATATGCATTTTAGCATTATATCAATATGCATTTTTGTTTTATATCAAAATGCATGAGTTATTAATACACCTACATAAAAATACCAATTATGAATGAAGGTTCAGATACATAAATTTACTTACACACTTATCAAAAACTGTCTATTGTTTCTCTGCATCTGAGTGTGTGTAGTTTAATACGACGCAGACCCGTTTTTTCATAGCAGTCTTGAATAAGCATATCATACCCATGCTCATTTGTAAGAAGATATTTCCACGTCGCTGATGATAACTGTACATGTTTCCAGCATATTTCATGTTTTTCATACATTTTTCACATAACAAAAATCCGCTTTCATTTTGAAGGAATAGAGTAAAAAACGGCGTTAAAGCTTACTCACCCACGCAGTCAGAATAGTGGCCTTCACACTCCTGATGTTGATTCTGGAGAATCTTATCCAGATAAACACCAACCACCTTGCACCTCGGCCTCGTTCGTCGTTATCACGACGATAACACCAAACACGACATGGCGATAAGTTCGTGATAACACGCTTGTGTATGTGTACTATTCTTGGATTTGTGTTTGTATGAGTTCAAACAAATACTTGTTGACTACTTACAACAAACATGGCGCAGTCACCAATGTATCAAACTTATATTCCTATTACTATTTCAAATCCATTTTAAATATTGAAACTGATTACATGTATATATGGACCCGTGAGGATCCTGGGTGGCCCCATCTTCCCGAGGCAAGTGAGTTAACTGACTATAAAAGTCCAGTTTCCACCCTTGCCGAACTAGGCTGGTATTATGGAGTTACATTTTGGCTGGACTAACGAGTCTATGCATAGTCCAATCAAACCGCGCACTGAAATCGAAATCCGGTTCGTAAAGTGTCATGCAGAATTCGGTCGACTGCAGGATTTGCAAAGCATGTGCACCGCTAACTCGTTGTCAACAGATATTTTCTAAATCTGTTCATGCTTTTAATCAAGGTGCTCACGTGATTTGATGTACTTCGCGATGTAAGATGTATCACAATATAGATCTTGATTATCAATCAGATCGTCTTGACTGGGCGCCACCGTTTTGTTTGAAGCAAATGCAAGTGATACGAGAGGTGGAATCTGATTGGTCAATAGCAGAGGCATAGAAAGGACATAACTCGTAAAAGCCACTGGTGGTGCTACGATCGAGCCGAGTAATTCCAGCCTAGCTCGGCAAGGATGGAAACTGGAATTTTAAAGTCAGTTAACTCCCTTGCCTTGGGAAGATGGGGTAGTTTAGATCTTCAGCAATCCACGCTTGACGTGAAAAGCGACTATGCGTGTCGTATGAGGCGACTAACGGGGTCGGGTGGTCAGGCTCGCTGACTTGGTTCGTGCCTGTCATCGTATCCCAATTGCATGGATCGATACTCATGATGTCAATCACTGAATCACTGCCTGGTCCAGACTCGATTATTTTCAGACCGCCGTCATATAGCTGGAATATTGCTTAGAGCGGCGTCTAAACAACAAACAACGAAAGAAACAAGCATGTATCTAAAAGATATATCAATCACATATTCCAGTGAAAAGTCACAATATGACTGACTGATGTTTGCGTGTGGAGAAGGTGAAATTATGTGCAGCGTTGCGTGCATGCAAGTGTTTTGGTATGTGTGCGTGCATACGTGCGTGTGCGCGCGCAACTCAAGTCTATAGGTGGGAGGTGGGCGGTTTGCTTGCACTAGTCAGGACGATTGACGGTTTTATAGTGCTAGCCCATTGAGATACCACTCCGTAGTTTAACATGAATACCAAACTCTGACACAGCATACTGACTCCGAGCCGACCAGACCTTGTTTTTCCCCTTATGCCGAGCGCCAGACAGGGTAACAACAAGTATCATCCCTTAACGTCTTTTGGTATGACGGGGATCGAACCACCAACCTTCCGCTTTCCGGGCAGACGCTCTATCAACTAGACCACAGGGGCGGTAGTAGATGAATCGACTGTATAATATGTTTTTAGAAACGTCATCGAATATTAATACATGTTTTCAAGTTTAACCTTCGAGTGGACTCGGGGAATGGATGAGTCAGCAAGACGCATCTGTTTGAATCCCTTCTTCCCACGTGAGTGTTTACAAGTTATGCGTCTATACTGTGAGTCTGTCTCCAAGACCTCAGTGATTTAATTAAAACTGAATCCTACTCAAGCCTAGAATTATTTGGCAAGTCTACATTGCCTCAGTTCTTGGACGAAAGCTCGACTGAAGTGATGCAGGTCTTAGACGTTTACCTCTTTGGGGAACTCACGAGCACGGGTATGATACAGACCTCGGAATATAGTCGGGGCGAGTTGTGATTCAAACCCATAATCATAGGATTCTGGCGTGTCCAAGGGACGCAACTCTTCACAGCGCCTTAGAAGACTGGCGGCTCATGTCGATGTCACATTAGTAAACACATAAACCGGGAATGTTTTCGTAGCGATCAGTCTTCCTAAACCTGAAAATTATTACAGACAGAAATGATCCATAATGGCGCCACTCTGCTCAAGGTCGATCGATCTCACAGGTCTGACAATGCCTTAGCAACACAATTTAATACGTTTTTAACCTGTTCACGTGAGCGGATATTTCCCACACATGGTTTGATTGATATCATGTTTCGTATTTTCGTTCGCACTAATGGGAAAATCACAATCACATGGGAACCAAATAGAAGGATTCCACCATTATTCCCATGTTCCATGTGCGGCCTGTCATAATTTAACATCTTTGGCTCCTCATCTAACACGGCCTTTAAGAAAAGGTCTTCAGCAACCCATGCTTGTTGTAAAAGGCGACTATGCTTGTCGTAAAAGGCGACTATGCTTGTCGTAAGAGGCGACTAACGGGACCGGGTTGTCATGCTTGCTGACTTGGTTGATGCATGTCATCGTATCCCAATTGCGTAGAACGATGCTTATGATGTCAATCACTGGATTGTATTATAGACTGCCGTCATATAGCTGAAATATTGCTAAGTACGGCCTTAAACAACAAACAAACTAAAATTGTAGTAACGCATTTTAATAGACTGGGCGATGTCACAAAGGGCACACCCACAACATAAATCAGATATCACTGAGAGTTGTACACTGATATCCTTGTAAATTTACGTGTGTGAAATACTAGCGAGCGTTTTGCCAAGAATATGACTTTGGATATATCCCCTTTCTGCAAATTGCAATTTGTAAATGATAATATATCTAACATACAACTTGAAAATAAATAATGCTTAAGCTCTTTTAATTGACGTATTAGGTGACCTGGGGTTTTTTAATTCACAAACGCCTATTAGATAAAACTCATTTTAAGGTAGCAATACAGTCTAATCAATTCACCCACATTAATCATGAAAGAATATGTTGCCTTTAGTCAAGCAACGCTGACGCTTTCTCTCATCTCTTATACTCCGAAAGCTTCCCTTTACTCTTTAATTGGCTCAACCAAATTTGAAATGATAAAGGTCAAATAAATGGAAATAAACTTCGCACTTATCGTATAATTAAAAGTTCTTTTCATGCAGAGCGTTATGTTTCTGCTCCAATAGAAAGAAATCATAGAAGCATATTATGTTAACTGCGTTGTGGCACTCTGCCGGTAGAAATAGAAATCCGTAGTTTTTCAAAAATTCCTTTACAAAACCTCTGTAAATACTATAAAAGTAATATTGTTGAAGATGAAGTTCACTTCTTGACCACATGTGACTTGTATTCTGATTTAAGATATGAGTTATGGAAATATATTTTGAATATTGATCCACTATTTATATAGCTTCCACCAATTGACCAGTTTATTTATTTAATGCAAATTTGTGATAGTTATTCATGTAAACTCCCAGCTGCTCCAACGTTTCAACGTCGTAAAATCTTTGTTAACAGAAGAAGAAGAAGAAAAATAGTTTATTTAAGTGTCCAGCGGTGTATACATAAAATTACATCAATTTATACAGTAGATAAAATATATTAAAAGATATACATCGCCCGGCCAGCGTGGGCCTATTAGACACTAATGTTCTTAAAAGCAAGTGCTAAAATATTTATAGTGGACAGTGATGAATTTATTTATTATTGGTGCACAAAATACGTGATAAAAGTATAATACTCATAAATTTATAACAAGCATTGCCATACAATGACATGTTTTATAAAATATACATTAATACTTTACGTTAACATTAATACTTTACGTTAACATTAACACTCTACGTTAACATTAATACTTTACGTTAACATTAATACTCAATAAGAGGTTTTAAAATGTTAAATATTTTAACAATTATTTAACTACATGCATTTTGTGCATTTATATTGTTATCTTAGTGATACGAGTGTCTCGTAGGCCTCTTTGGCCGGATGTTGTATGTTTTTTATGTGAATAAAATGTAATTTATCTGCTTATGTACAACATGTGACGCTTTAATAAAATATCATTCTTCTTCTTTTTCCTTTTACGTACCATTTTTTTATTAGGTTTATCTTAGTTGTTTCTTTTTTTGTCCTTTAAAATATATTTCTACGTGTCTGAAACGAACAATAGTTGATAGTACTGACAGATTTCTAGAAGACGTTTTACGTAGTTAACATCCTAACCATATGTGTGACATTATTTGACATGTCATTGTCACTTATACCAATTATAATACGCATGCCACCTGTTTACAAATAAGATGATCTATACATACAAGTAGTTCAGAGTAGATCTTTGAAAGGTATTTAGATGTGATACACATAAGGAAGAGAATATATGGATGTCAACTTCTTTATGCTTACTCCTTCATCAGGTGATGAAGGAGTAAGCATATATTCCGTTCCTCATAACAAAGAAGTTGACATCCATATATTCTCTTCCTTAGTTCAGAGTAGTTTTAAACAATGACGGTAAAATATATATATCATGAATACCGGCAAATATGAATATATACAATTAAATATATAAAACTATGTTTCTGTTTTGTCATGGTATGGTGATTCTAAATCTAAAATATAGCTTGATATGGTTCAACAAACAGTGTGTGCACTGTCCATTGTGATACTTCTACTTAAGTATATTAAAAAGAATGTTTAGTCAATTGACATGTGTTCATTGTAAACAAGGATTAGTGTCACAGGATTACTAAGTTTTTCATCTGGTATAATGCACTTCCTCGATTAGCATAATTAGAACAGAGTTTGTAATTAATTAGTTATATGCGGATTCGAGTTAACCAAGGCAGCTAGCATTAGTGGAGAGTGTGAGCAGCTGGAGAAGAGGCGAGCAGCTCAATGTGATTTATGAATTTGTGGAATTTTAATAAATAAACGAACGCCTATAACAAAAAATGCAGTCGAACATTGAACACACATGTACAGAATCGCAAATTATTCCATCGTACATTTGAGGGTAAACTAGAACGAAGCCGTGCAGGATGCCTTACAGCGATTTGACTTCAGAACACACAGTGAGCTCCTTGAAGTTTATTAATGATGATATTTTCATTCATATGGCAATTATGAGCGCTGACTCTATATGTGTTCGCAATAGAACAACATCAAAACCTATATTTGTTAAATGCAACAGGTTTAACGCATTCAGTATTGTACAATCATTATTATAAAATACAGCATGTTTATATATGTGTGTTGCTACCCCTCTCATGTCAAATACATAAATGAATAAAAAAAAAAAAAATTACTATTAATTTTACATTATAACTAAAATTATGGAGCCTAGCATGTCGCGCCAACAAACTATTGTATATATAATTCCCCTTGGGATTTCTGTTTACTGTGTTTGCGGCTGGGTCCAGACAATTCCCCAAATGGACCATCCCAAATACTACTGTGTAAAGTGCAAAACCTAACCTTAAAATGAAAGGTTTTTTTATCAATGACTTTGGGAATAATATGTCAGTCAGATTGTTTATGGCATTCAGATATAGTTGAAACGGTAAGCCCTATGATTAGCCTAAGAAGTCTTAAATCGATGTCATGCTTACATAAAATAGTTATGGTTTGAGATCACAAACTTTTCATGTAGGACAGTCAGACTTTGGGTGGGACAGAGAGGGTTTGTTCAGCCTCTACTTCAGTTTGTACATTCTACCAATGGCAGCATCTCACACTGGCGTAACCTACTTTGAAAGACATACGACAGGTTTATCTTGTCTATTGGACCATTTCTTGGCATATGCTTCGACAGCATCCCTAATGATTTTAAAGTTGTGCTCCCAATTTTTCGGGTTTGTTCGCGATATTTCAGTTTGAATAAGCGACGAAAAGAATTAGCATTGAATTTAATTTCCGAAGACTGAAAGATTCAAAGGAATTATAAGAAATTAGTTGGGGTTTTCAAATAATGTTTACAATGCATTCCATTTCTATTGTCCAAGGAATGAGGTTACCGGTTAATGAGGTTAAAATTCATTTAGGTATACTTTTAAAAGTGACTGGAGAAAATCTTAGTTCTCTTTTATGAAAACAATCACCTCAGTCCCCAAAAATGAAGAACACCACAACATGACACATCCCCCTCACCACCACCCGCCACTGTATCCACATATCACATAGTCAACCCCTTAATGATACTTTGTTTGTTTGTTTGTTGTTTAACGCCGCAATCAGCAATCTTAATTATACTAGTTTATCAATTCATTACTGTTTGTTTTACGTATACACTTTTCATCTTATGGAAACACAAAACACATGCGCCCCCAATTTGTGGTCAAGGGGGAATATTGCTTTACAGCGAGACAGCGGTAACAGGAGATATACATATCGCTTTCTCGTCTTGTGCTATCGCTCTCTCGGCTCGTGTTATCGCTTTCTCGGCTCGTGTTATCGCTTTATAGTCTTGTGTTATCGCTTTCTCGCGGCCATAATTGAAGGCAAGAAAGCGATGTCCCCTCTCGGCTACCATACATTTTGCAGAGTGCTACAACAACATGGCCACACGGACCCCAGCAGAATATCAAAATTAATATTCTTGTAAGACTTTTTAACTGGTATTAACGTAGAAAATATTATGCATGTATAAATGATTCCCCAACCTCGCGTCCAAGTAGGCATTGAACATTGAACTGAATAATGTCTTTATAGAATGGAATGTTGAATTTTATTGACACAGGAAGTCCTGAATTGTCAGGAGTTGTAAATTGTAACATGTTGTTTGTTGTTATGTAATTTGAAATGATTACTAAATGCATTGATCAACAATATTATTCTTTGCAAAAGGCTCCAAAGACAAATATATGTGATTGTGAGATAAGAGACAGTGTGGGTGAAAAATCACATTTTGACTTTTAAACATATTTTAAAACTAAGGCTGAAATATATTTATTACAAAGCTACATGGCATCTAACATTTGGACTCATTTTCCGACTTATGCCTGTTTATGCAATAATTGCAGTTTTCAGTCATGTCTGATGAATTGATACTTAAAGGCTTTGAAATAATGTGTTTATTTCATTACGCACTAACGAGAGAAAAATAAGATATTTGTGTACAGTCCGATCTTGGCGATCTTCAATGAAGTTAGTTGACGTCAAATGTCTTTATGACGTCACAGCACAATTGTATCCTAGCACCCATAAGGTCCCTTGGTGGGTCACAGTTAACACTAATACTGTTTAACATATCAAGCCATTGTAAAGTCCATTGCCCCATTGACATGCGCCTTTTGGAGACGTTCTGAGGGTGAATGTTTGTCTCCAAAAGTATGAAGGTTAGTTCATATATATTTAGAGTGAGTGAGTGAGTGAGTATGGTTTTCAGCCGCTTTTAGCAATATTCCAGCAATATCACGGCGGGGGACACCAGAAATTGGATTCACACATTGTACCCATGTGGGGAATCGAACCCGGGTCTTCGGCGTGACGCTTTAACCACTAGGCTACCCCACCGCCCCTTATATATTTAGAATGGAATCTGGAATATCTCATTTTCTTGTGGTAAACCTGGTTGAAGTGATCGCTCATCTCCCTCGTAAACCACGCTCGCCACGATCCTACCTGTCCTGAAAACAGAATCAAACTCAGTTATGGGTCCAGACTCGATTATTTACAGACTGCCGCCATATAGCTGGAATATGGCTGTGTGCGGCGTTAAACAACAAAAAAAAACAAAAAAACTTATCAACCTCCAGTGACGTCATCCTATTGTTCTCCAGTCGGGTTAAATCTCATAAACAGGGACTTTGTAATGTCCCTGGGATTTTATAGGATATTCAAGTCATATTTGCTATATATTTTGTTGTAATATCCCAGGGATTTTTTATAATGTTCTGGGTATTTTATTAATATAACTTCCGTTCAGATTGTAACATGTAATTAAATGTAAAATCAAATGACAAATGTTTTCTTTATATTCCCGAGGATCAAACTCGCAACCTTCATATCTGTAGCCCAGTGAGTGTACCACAAGGCTAGAGAGGTGTTGATAGGTCGCACTGCTTTTTAGAATGTCCTTTTCAAGATCCGTACGCCAGCAACAGATATGTTCGAAACATGTTGATAAATGTTGTTTTAAGGTTCAAAATCGGTTTATAAGTAAGATAAAACTATTCCCCTCGAGATGCGGGTTTTAAATATCATAACAACCCTCGGACGTGTTTTATCCTATACAAACAGACTCAGTTGTAAATAAAGTGTACTGCTTTGAAGGAGGATAAGGTGACAATATGGGCAGTTGAAGACATGTCTGATGTCATCCTAAACCAACTTAAAAGAAAACTATTTGTTCGAAGTGGGCACCTCATGCCTTCAGTGTAGGCATACAGTGATACAGAAGTGCACTTACTTACCGTCAAAAGAAACGACGTCGTGAATATCATACATGTTGGTAATTATAAGATTTACTCAAATAATGTGAATTAACAAAATAAGTGAGTGAGTGAGTGAGTATGGTTTTACGCCGCTTTAAGCAATATTCCAGCAATATCACGGCGGGGGACACCAGAAATGGGCTTCACACATTGAACTCATGTCGGGAATCGAACCCGGGTCTTCGGCGTGACGAGCGAACGTTTTAACCACTAGGCTACCCGACCGCCCCAACAAAATAAGAAATGTTTCGGCCGAGACATTAAAACTTCTCCCTACTGTGATGGAAAACGAACATATATAAATGTTGGGGTTTTTTTAACGTATAAGCAGCAGAATATCTGCACTAATACCAAAAGACGTAATTCAAAATTTATAAATTGTTATCCATTTCAACGAAATCAGCAAATGCTCTATCGTGTGATCACTTGATCGTCTGCTTTGTTTACATGTCGCCGTTGCCTCGCACGAGTACCGTTGAGAGGTATCAGGCAAGAAACACATACCTGTTTATGCAAATTGTGTGAGTGACGTGTGATACCGGTGGGGCATGACATTCGTACCCTTTTCAAGAATACCTAGTGCCATCACTGATTGTCGGTGATCCATTCATCAATCTCATTAAAATCAGATCTTGGTTCTCGCTACCGCTAAACAAAGATCTGAGGACATCCCATTACGGGTCCCGTCAGCACGACCTTTAATCCAACCAATGAGAGCGTCGCTTACCAGATCCTGAAAGTGACAGTCGGAATGTGTTTTATATCATGCAACCTCGAGATATTTAACACGGGGTATTCCGAACGACAGTTACGGGTTTAATGATTATATCCATACAATCTAGGCCATCTATAAGCCATTCCAGAATGTTGTTTTGGTCAGTTTAAAAAGTTTTAATCGAGAATACGTCAAAATATGTTTCGAAGCGTAATGGCCAGTTTGAAACTAGTGCCGTAAAGCTCGAGATAGCTGCCTTCTGATTGGCAAATGTCGATTTCTTGTCAGTCATTTCATTGCTCGGTCAATGTTCGCGAAAGGTCGTGCTGACGTGACCCGTAATGGGATGTCCTCAGATCTTAAATTTTGCCTTTGCCAATAGCATCTGTTTGGTAGAATAATCGTGACTGGTTATGCGTTGGCGTTAACCTTCTTTATTCTTTGTCGAATCAAGTGACTGGGATACGAGTAGGAGTTTCCCCCGGGAACATTTCAGCCCAAAATGAGGTAATTATCCTTCCGCTGGGAAATGCGTACAAACAAACAATCAGTTGCTCCCTTGTTTGTATATATTTCTAAAAGAAACTGAAAATGCTGATGCTCTGATTTTGGTCGCATCCTCAGCTGCAGATGGAGACCCTTTAAAACGTGATCATTAACGTGACAAATGCAAGGTAACATACAATGGGATTGGCCACAGGGACTTTCTGTATGTCTTGTTCGGCCAACTAAACAGACATACATATATGGGTGCTTGATGTGAACTGTGTCAGTATAGGCCGCACTCAGCAATATTCCAGCTATATGACGGCGGTCTGTAAATAATCGAGTCTGGATAAGAAAATCCAGTGATTGACATCATAAGCATCGATCTACGCAATTGGGATACGATGATATTCATCAACCAAGTCAGCGAGCCTGACCACCCGATCCCGTTAGTCGCCTCCTTCGACAAGCGTAGACGCCTTTTACGGCAAGCATGGGTTGCTGAAGACCTATTCTATCCCGTACCCTATTCGACCATCGTATGCTACCGGGGATACATTTTACCCCGGAATTTCCACTGGCTAACAATTCTTAACCAGAATCCCAACTTGGTAACAAGCATAGGGTTGCAGGGGGCAATTATAAACCAGAATCCCAACTGGGTAACAAGCATAGGGTTGCAGGGGGCAATTATAAACTAGAATCCCAACTGGGTAACAAACATAGGGTTGCAGGGGGCAATTATAAACCAGAATCCCAACTGGGTAACAAGCATAGGGTTGCAGGGGGCAATTTTAAACCAGAATTCCCACTGGGTAACAAGCATAGGGGTGCAGGATGCAATTATAAACCAGAATCCCAACTGGGTAACAAGCATAGGGTTGCAGGGGACAATTATAAACCAGAATCCCAACTGGGTAACAAACATAGGGTTGCAGGGGGCAATTATAAACCAGAATCCCCACTGGGTAACCAGCATAGGGTTGCAGGGTGCAATTATAAACCAGAATCCCAACTGGGTAACAAGCACAGGGTTGCAGGGGGCACAATTATAAACCAGAATCCCAACTGGGTAACAAGCATAGGGTTGCAGGGGGCAATTATAAACCAGAATCCCAACTGGGTAACAAGCATAGGGTTGCAGGGGGCAATTATAAACCAGAATCCCAACTGGGTATCAAGCATAGGGTTGCAGGGGGCAATTATAAACCAGAATCCCAACTGGGTAACAAGCATAGGGTTGCAGGGGGCAATTATAAACCAGAATCCCCACCGTGGAATGGGTAAAGGTAAAGGGTTAATTAGAATGTTCTGATTTCCTATTTTTTTTACCTTTATTGTAGTTAACGCTCTCTCCATTCAGTACCTCGGTGATGTTATATTTATTCTTCTTCATGTTCGAGATATGACACGCCGCTGCTACCTGACCACAAAACTCGTCATCAGCGTCCATGCCAAGAAATCTATTCATTCGAATTATTTCTCCTCTCGGATCCTGAAAACGGTAATGGTTCACATTATTGTTATATCGAAGCTATCAAGGGTAGAAGTATCTTGGGGGCGTCAGTGATGAAAGTCGGTATCGGCACGATAATGAAAACAAACGCATATCGCTCATTCGACTGGGTTGGAAGTTTACCTTTATATTTCTGTATGTTTGTTGTTTAACGCCGCACTTAGCAATATTCCAGCTGCATGACGGCAGTCTATAAATAATCGAGTCTGGACCAGATAATCCTGTGATTGACATCATGAGCATCGATCCACGCAATTGGGATACGATGACATGCATCAACCAAGTTCGCGAGCCTGGCCACCCGATCCCGTTAGTCGCCTCTTAAGGGGCATTCACACGGTACAACTAGTTGTATACAATTTGTTGCATGCAACACATTGCATCGTGTGAACGGGCAAGTCGGTCCAACTTTTGACGTATGCAACTTAATGGACGCGAGTTGTACGAAATAGGACATGCTCTATTTTCATGCGACAAGTTGCATGAACGCAGCCAATCAAAACGCGTATGAAAATCACGTGACACTTACACGTCAATTTGTAAACAAAAATGGCGACGCCGATTCACGTCGGTAACTCCTGTTTTTCGGTATCCTAAGTGTCACCACTCAATAAAGCACCTATGAAAACCTAAAAAAAACCTGTCATTCAGTCATCACAACCAAGTCCATGGTCTAGAGGGAAGGGTATCTGCCCGGAGAGCGGGAAGCCAGTGGTTCGATCCCCTGCCAGCAGCCAACAAGCCACATTTAAGGATTGTACTTGTTATTACCCTGTCTGGTGCTCTGAAGTGAGGGGAGGCAACAAGAACTGACTCGGGGTCAGTGTACTGTCTGGATGGGTATTCATGTTAAACTGGGGACACGGGTGGCCCAGTCGTCTAAGGCGCCGCGATTCGCTGTGCAGAGTTGCGTCCCTTGGGCACGCCAGAAACCTTTGATTGTGGGTTCGAATCCCGGTTCGCCCCAATTATGTTTCTAGGTTTGTCAGCACCATACCCGTGCTCGTTGGTTTCACCGAAGAGGTAAACGTATGAGACCTGCATCACTTCGGGCTTTCCTCCCACATGAAGCTGACACGCCGCGATATAACTGGAATACTGTTAAAAGCGGCGTTAAACCCAACTCACTCATGTTAAACTGCGACATTGTATCTGATCGGTCCGTACAAGTACAAACACACACAAAGGCACAATATTTTACTGACGCTTCATTAGTCAAATTGATTGCTTCAGTTATATTGTTTGAAGTCTTTGGTTTGTACTTTTGGATAGCGTTAGGGTTGCTGTATTATTGCGTTTGAATTGCCACTGATTGTGGTACCAGAGGTCAATGTCCATCGACGTTCACGGTCAATGGATCAATTCGGAAGGTTCACTCTCGACGAAACTATTATACAACCCAATCATGATTGGTACTGAATGGAAGCTCGGTCAACAAGCTACCCAACTACCTGTCCCATACAATGAAACGGACATGCTTGTCGTAAGTAACGACTAACGGAATCAGATAGTCAGACTCGGTGACTTGGTTGACGCAATTCGTCGTATCCCACAGATCAATGCTGATGATGTCAGTCTTTTGTTTGTCTGGTCCAGACTCGATTATTTCCAGAACGCAACCATATAGATGGAATATTGCTGAGTGCGGCGTTACACAACAAACAAACTGCTTGGAATTCCAAAGATCAGTTTGACTGAACTGAGCTGAATTATATTTACACTCAGGCCGCTGCCAGCGCCATCAGGGGTACAAAATTATTTCAACAACATAATACATATCCATTTAAATATAGAATATATGCAAAAACATCTTGGCCGAGCATGCATGCATATTTATACAGATTCACTAGGGTAGCAATATATGTCCAATTCAGAAAGAGGGAGAGTTACTTGATAGGTTTAAACAATGACATGGTGATTTTATAGAATTTCGAAAGTTTTCTCAATGTTCCTAGTCGTGAATTATTGAAAAGTAAATTCATTTTATGCATATTGGGTTTAATGTAGTAGAATCTGTGTAAAAAATGGTTTCTTTCGTTTTCTAAAGATGGACAAATAAACAAATAATGGAATTCATCACCTATGTCAGATAATTTACAAAGTGGGCATTTCCTTTCGGTCAAAGGTATGTTACTCCATCTCACAGTTTCAATAGGTAGATTATGATTACAAGTTCTAAACTTAAGTAAGACTCGCCAAACGTTTTACGGCAGTACGTTTAAATAATATTCAAAATCATTTAGGCAATCATTTTTTATGATACTATTGATTCCTCTTTTATTTTCTATGTTTATCAATCAGTTGGAAGACTCATTACAGACATATGGTGGTAGAGGTATATTTGTCGGAGAAGATTTTAACGATCTGATTTTATTGCTGTATGCTGATGATCTATGTATATTTGATGACTCAGTTATTGGTTTGAAAAGAAAAAATAATATTTTATCTTCTTTTGTAAAAAGTGGGGTTAGAAAGTAAACTTTGATAAAACTGAAATATTAGTTTTCTGAAATGGTGGAAAATTTAAAAATGCTGAAAAATGGTTTTATGATGATGTACATATAAAGATAGGAACATTTTATAGTTATTTAGGTGTTGTATTTTCAAACCGATTATCATGGTCAAAATGTGGGCAAACTTTAGTCCAGAAAGCTAAAAAGCTCTAATTCCCATTAAGCAATTACACATTAAATTAACTCCCTTCCTTTACCAATATTGTTTCAAATGCTTGATACGCAAATAAAACCAATATTATTTTACTGTTCAGAAATCTGGGGAACCCATAATTTGAATGTTTTAGAAGTCATACAAACTAAATTTTGTAAATATTTACTTGGTGTCGGGAAATCTAGTACAAATGTTGCTATTTGGGGTGAATGTGGACGCTATAAATTGTATTGTGAGACTTATGTACATTGTTTGAAGTATTGCTGTAAACTAACCACTGTGTCAAATGAAAGATACCCTGGACAATGTTATAACATGATATATAGATTAGATCAAGTAGGAAGAGTAACCTGGTCTACTAACAGTAAGATTTTTATGTATTATATATGGTCTTGGTTTTGTAGGGGGAAATCAATCTGTTGGTCACACTGATTTATTTATATGTGAGTTTTCACAAAGAGTTAAAGATTGTTATATACAAACATGGCATTCACAAGTTAATGATTACACACATTTAGAATTGTTTTCGTCACTCAAAACAGCATTTGTTATTGAACCGTATATTTTAAAAATCACTTGTAAAGAACTAAGAAGAATGGTATCACTGTTAAGAATTGGACAATTAAATATCATGATGAATATTGGAAGAAAAAGTAATATTGATTTTAATTTTAGATTTTGTCCTTTTTGTAAGAACATCATTGAACTGAATTACACGTTATGCTATCATGTCCATTATATGATGATATCAGACAGAATCACATTCCAAATATATATTGTAAATCTCAGTTATTTAAGCATATAAGCTCAGGCAAACTAACTGATTTACTTCAATGCTGTAAATATATTAAAGAGACTATTGTATTACGTTCATCCCATTAGTAATACTTGTTTAATGTTGCACAAATATGTATATTCCATATGTCAATATTTGTTTGTACATGGGCCTGTGGCCTGTATACTGAATAAAGGAATTGATACTATACACTGTGTGTGCCTTTTGAAGACGCAGCGTACCAATCTGGGGAATGGAACCAGGAACTTCGGAATAACGAGCAAATGCTTAAACAATCGTTTACTCCAACCCCAAACGCTCAATGTGAAGGAACCTACTGATATGAGATCTTCATAGTGCACGACGAGAATGGGGTGATGTTGATGTTGCAACATAGCTTGTTCCCAGCTTTTCACGTGATCAAACCAGCTACCCCATTCCACTGAAACAGTTACAATGATTAATGATTATGGTTTTACGCCGCTTTTAGCGATATTCCAGCAATATCCCGTCGGGGGACACCAGAAAAGGGCTTCACACATTCTACCCATGTCAGCATTCGAACATGGGTCTTAGGCGTGACGAGCGAACGCTTTGACCGCGAGGCTACCCGACCGCCCCAAAAGAGAGCAGTAAACGTGAGAGAGAGAGACAAGACAGCCGTTCTTCATGCATATGAACTGTATTATTTATTTGTTTGTTTGTTTGTTTGTTTGTTTGTTTGTTTGTTTGTTTATAGTATTGTTTGTTGTTAGATGTTTAACGTCGCACTCAGCAATATTCCAGCTTGGAATTTATTGGATTGTATTGTTACCTTAAAAGGAGGTATGTCTAAAAGGTGTTAGTGAATAAACACACGTAACACGTCAATTAAAAGAACTAAAGCATATTTATTTTCAAGTTGTATCTTAGATATGTAATCATTCACAAATTGCAGTTGGCAGAAAGGGGATATATCCAAAATCATATGAATGGCAAAACGCTCACTATTATTTTTAGCGCATGTAAAATTTCACGGATATCTCTTTTCAACTCTCAGTAATATCTTATTAATTTGCAACTACAATCCATTCATGTTGTGTGTGTGTGACCTTTGTGACATCGCCCAGTCTATTAAAACGCGATACTACGATTCTGTTTTCATTGTTCGTTGTATAAAGCCGCACTTAGCAATATTCCAGCTATATGACGGCGGTCTGTATATAATCGAGTCTGGACCAGACAATCCAGTATTTGACATCATGAGCATCGATCTACGCAATTGGGATACGATACCATGCATCAACCAAGTCAGCGAGCCTGAACACCCGATCCCGTTAGTCGCAATTTACGGCAAGCATGGGTTGCTGAAGATCTATTCTACCCCGTATCTTCACGGGTGTAGTAGTAGTAGTGGTGGTAGTAGTAGCAGTAGTAGTAGTAGTAGTAGTAGTAGTTATAAACTCACACTCGCCGTCCATAAATAACTTCAGCCAATCAGGAAACGGGCAAATCGTAAGCCCGCCTCGGTACCTGAAGTTCTTCTCCATGAGCTGATACCATGACACGGCCACATCACGCGGGTCTCTTAGAAGGTAGATGACTTTCACACGTTTTTCCATGACCTGTTTCGGCAAGCGACAGAACTGCATGTGTCCATTGAATACTCGAGGGGAGGTCCGAGCTTCCAGTGTCTTCGAATTCACTTTCTCCACGTGCAGATCGTGTTTGGTGTGGGGAACAGTTTCCGTAGACTTGTTCAGAAGCATGTTGAGGATTTCGTAACACCAATGTGTACCTAAATTAGGAAAGTCAAGAAATCGGTAATAAACGACGATAACGAAGTCTTTGAAGGGCATTTAGAGTAAATGAGAGGGTATTCCAGTAATATCACGGCGGGGGCCACCAGAAATGGACTACCCACATTGTACTCATGACGGGAATCGAACCCGAGTCTTCGGCGTGACGAGTGAACGCTTTAAACACTAGGCTACCCGACCGCCCCAAAGGCATTTAGAAGTGATTTACATAAGGAAGGCTTCCTGTTGTCCATCGCTATCAACAGTCAGCACTAATTTACTGTTTTGATTTACTTGGCTTACATTTGTCCACATGTTGGCTTACATTTGATTGCTCATCACCTATCAGGGCAAATTATCAGTTGGTTTCCCTTGTTAAGTTTCCACCTTTGTTATCTTATTTCTTTGGTTGTTCTTACAGATACATATATATATGTTCTTTGCCTCAGAGCATTTATTCATCTGATGAAGGAGTAATATGTACTCCGAAACGTCGTGTTCCCCATAATAAAGACGTTGACATCCATAAATGTTCTTCCGAAGATAACGAACATTCAACAACGTAAACTCACAAGTTATAAAGAGCGGAGTGCCAGAAGACAGGAAGGTCAAACCAAAAGACGCTAAGAGATGGTACGTGTTTCTTTGTCTAGTGATTGGCATAATGATTGAAGGGGTAAAACAGGGACAGGTCGACTCGGAGTTATCTGTATCTTAATTGCGGCATAGTATCTCGGATGGCTGGCATTTTAAAACCAGACATTGGTCCGAACTAGTACAAGCAGCCCTTGCACATACACAACGTGCATTCACGTCGCTATATAAGTGCAATAATATGTTAAACCGCATTTCACCACACCTATAAAAAAGTAAATGAGAAGGTTTTGACAACAAATGTTTACCTCGTTCTTTCGACTACTGTCAGTCAAAAAACGTCCAATTACGGTCGATTACTGCGACAAACAAACACACGTCAACGTGTCCCCGCCGTGATATCGCTGGAATATTGCTTAAAGCGGCGTAAAATCATACTCACTCACTATTTGATGGTGAGGTGAGGTGAAATTGGGTTTAACGTCGCGTCCAAGATTATTGCGCTTATATAGCGACGTGCATGCACGTGTATGTGTGGCTGCTTGTACTAGTCCGGACTGATGCCGATTTATAGTGCTACCTCACTGAGATACCATGCCGCAGTTTAACATGAATACCCCACTCAGACACAGTATACTGACTCCGAGCCGACCAGTCCTTGTTTTATCCCCTTAATGCCCAGCGCCAGACAGGGTAACAACAAGTACAATCTTTTAACGTCTTTTTGTATGACGCGGCCCGGGATCGAACCCTGGACCTTCCGCTCTCCGGGCGGACGCTCTACCACAAGACCACGGAGGCGGTCACTATTTGATGGAGTCATAAGGACATGTGCATGGTAGAGACGGAACCGGAAGTGTACTCTCCTTTCAGACGATTATGATTACGGAAAACATATACACACTCTCATAGGGAATGCTTGTACATTCATACTGATGTATTCAGTCAATAATGGCATTGTTTGATTATGCATGAAGCTGCATACTTTGTTCCAGTTGAACCTTATGCAAACAGTGCACGGTAAAATGTGCCCATTTACTATGTTGTTTGTGTACTACAATGTATTTTATGAATATAATATTATGTAAATATAAATGTATACTACGGTTATAACGAACTCAAATGGACCACTAATTTTAATTCGTTATAACCGTAGTTCGTTATAAGCATTTGTCATCCAAAACTGGCTCTCACAGGAGATATCGCATGGCTGAGATCAAGCGATTTATTACTTGCCCGTGATAGATCACCTGTTTACTAAACATACAGCTGTATTACACATTGCGTAATATCAGAGTGCGTGCTTATGTACTACGGGAACACGTTACTCTAACAAACATTGAAAGTTCTCAACATCACTTGGCTTATTCAACGACATTGCGTGATAGATTATAGATCACTGAGAGGAGCTCCTGCACACTCAATGACCCCAGCAACCCCGTTGCTAGGCTGACGTCACATGACATTGTTTTGCCGGATGATCTTGCAACACAATTCCACAAACACGTCATAGAGTATTGTGACGAGATTGTAAACTTTGTGGTGCAGGTCCCATTCCACAAGGCGATCGTATTTTAGCGCAACGACAGTAGTAAGTTTCTGTACTAGTACTAGTATGTCAGGTACGATAACCTTAGCGCTACGATAACTTTGTGGAACGGATGCCTGAATTCTAAATGTAAGCCGTTGTATGATATTAAATGAATATGTGTCAACGTTTGACGTGTTTGAAGTATTATTCTGTTAAACTCAATTGGATAACGTTGTGGATCGCGTAGTTGTCTGCCTATTCATACACGACAGTGAAATTCTAAAAAGTTACAAATGGCAAGTAATAAATAAGATACTGAACTCGCTCCCGTGTAACACCAATTATATGAAACTCGTGAATAGTTCTGGTATCTGACTCGTTTTGGCTCGCCAAATACCAGAACTATTCATAAAATTGGTATTACACGGGAGCTCGTTCAGTATTCTATATATCTACATTGTAGATGTCGCTGCAATGACATTGCATCACAATGCGTTGGAGACCATTGTGACATCATTGGTTACAATGACGTCACAATCAAATGACATCACTAATGGCTCTGTTACTGAAGCTGTCAGCAGTACTTTGTACACTTAAGTTACTGCTTATTACTGTCTACAAACTGAAGAAGATGGAAGAATGATATCGGATGATAAATAAATTTTCACCTTCGTGTCTTTTGATATCAAATATATCAACACTCGTTGATATATTTTATATCAAAAGTCACTCGGGTGAGATTCTCTATATGTACAGCATACATACAACAAATGGACGGAACCAAGAAATAGTTCGTTATATCCTTCAGTTGGTTGTAAGCGTGTTCGTTATAAACGTTGTCTACTGTATAGACAAACTTTTAGCTGCAACCAGACCCCAAGCATAGGCTTCACAGTTAAACCCATAATAATCGAACCTTTCATCGAACTCTTTTATCATACTCTAACGTGGTAGACGTAAGCCAGTTCGCAGGTTCCTTGCTTGTTGTCAGCAATATTACAACCATGTCAGGAAGCCTGTAAATAATCAAGGGTGGGCCATACAAACCAAGGGTTGATAGTATGAGCAACAGTCCCCGCCTGGCCACCTGATCAATTCATTGACCTTCTGAGAAAAGCATATTTTGCTGGAGAGTAATTCTTAGCCTGATTTCCTACAGGGACGCAGCAGATATAAAGCTAAATAGATGTATAGCGGGTAGAGTGATACATATTGGTATAGCTGGTAGATAGATAAATTATGTATAGCAGGGAGATTAATACATCATGTATAGCGGGTAGATAGATAAATTATGTATAGCAGGGAGATTAATACATCATGTATAGCGGGTAGATAGATACATTACGGATAGCAGGTAGATAGATATATTATGTATGGCAGGTAGATAGATACATTATGTGTAGCAGGGAGATAGCTATATTATGTATGGCAGGTAGATGTAGGTATGGCTGGAAGATAGATGCATCATGTATAACGAGTAGATCGATGGAAGTTCGATACATGCATAAAGACATAACACTTGATTAATTACCAGATCGCATGTATCCACATATCATGACATCATCATCCCAACACGTCACTTCCGACATGTTCCTAATTACGTCCTCGCTGTAGAAGAATGGATACCGCATGCTGTCTACCTCCAATAGTGGTATTGCTAGTTCAGGGAAGTTCTTCGGCGATACGTTGACCTTCGGCATGTCTGGAAACCTGAAATAGATATCATAACAACCTTCCAGGTATATCACGGCATGTCAGCTTAACATGGGATGAAAGCCTGAAGAGATGCATGTCTGAGATATTGAACCTTTTGGTGAAACCCACGGGTATGGTGCTAACAAACCTAGAAACATAATCGGGGAAAACCGGGATTTTAACCAAGGGTCATAGGTTTCTGGCGTGCCCAGGTGACGCCACAATGCACAGTGAATTGCGGCATCTTAAGACCAGTGGCAATCACCATCTTGCAAAATAAAGGAGATGGTCTATCGGAGGTATGGCAAGATGTATTTGGTATCGTTGGAAAGGTTGGAACCTCTAGTTTTCCAAAACAGTTTGTGAGTTCTCTCAAATCCTGCACAGTGGTGATGCATTAATGTCGTGGTACTTCTTTTGTACTATTGTACTCTGGACTTATCAAAGGCAGTTGTTACATGCATTCTGGATACATACTCATCACAGTAACATCTAGGAAAAACGTGTATGTCTCCCAGCAATGCATGCTCTCACTGAGTACGATACAACACCACCACTACTTATAATAGGCAAGAAAACAGATTTCAAGACTGTGTGATCATATCGAATTTTGAATGGTTTATTAAAGTTTGGTCTGTGTATTTTGGATACATCACCAACTGTTGGGCGACAATACATCCTTGGTTTGAATGGAAAGGGTGGAGATTCTTGATGAAATATGGCTCCACATTGCAACCACCTCAGACAAACCTGCTTCGTCATTTGGATGCTATGTCTCGAAATCATCGTCCACTATAATGAACATATACTGACCTCGCCCATACATTTGTAAAGAAATGTCTGAAGGGAGTATAGCTGTAATATATAAGGATACGATACATAAATGTGTACAGTATAATCACCTGTGTTTGAAATAACCATAATAAGTGAGAAATGTTCAATTTTAGTCAGGATTTCCTACAAAACTGATTAATATCACCTTGACTTTTCCCCTTAACGATGCTTCTCCAAATGTATTAATGTCATGCAGGATAACATGTACACCTGTAAACATCCTTGAAAAGCAATGTTTAGTTAGCTAATGCTATTATATAATGTATTTCTATGATGCAATTAAAAATGCATGGTTAGCAATTTATTTATACATGCTGCTGTTCTGCTGTACTCAGCAGTTAAGAATGATGCATGATAAACATTCAATTTTATGTGAATAGCATCCAATGATTGTTTAGCTATCAGTACTCACAAAAGCACTTTAGTTTAACCGTAAATGATGCTTACGAAATGCCATGTTGCTGACAATCAACGTCTGTTTGCCGTGGGTAACAGGAATGGCGAAAAACGAAGTGGCCAGACATTAATTGTTCATCGCAACATAATACCATCTCTTTTATATGTTATCTACAGCAGGGCAACACTCATGGCTTGCCACGGGCCGGGCTTCCACGTGGGCGAACGTCGACAGGACAACCAGATGCGGTTGGTGCATCTGCGGAATCGATACCAAACTGTCCCATTCACAGTTTGGACAATTGCTGAGTTGAGACAAATTAGTGGCAACACCGTACAAAATCCGGACCTGTTATCCAGCGATACGAGTTTGCTTCCACGTCATCGGCAGGTACAGAAGACATGACTGGGGCAGTATACTGTTCACAGATGTGTCCACGTTGCACCTACAAGGGTCAACAGGTGTCCAAGAGAACGTTTCAGTGACGCTTGCGTTACTTAACGTCGTCAGTTTGCGTTGGTAGAACATGGGAGAAAGAAAGTCATCATTGTTAGTGGTTATTTGAACGTATCAAGGATGACAATGTTCGAGATCCTGGTCGACCCTTTGTGCAATCGCCCACATGTTGCACTTATTGTAACAGACTTTTGAAGCAGCATAACATTTCTGTACTGCCATGGCCGGCTGATGTCTGGGATCAGATGGATAACGCCTACGACAGGACCCGAACCAGCTGGTAACGCAAGCTCAGTTGGGCCAATCATTGATTGCAATTTGGAATAACATCCACCACACTACTTTCAATCAAAGGGTGTCTTCAAAGCGCCGCCGCTGCCATGCCTGTATGAACGCAAATGGTCTCCACACCCGATATTGACATTGTTAATTGCGATGTCATACCACCCCTCCTTTAAGGTGTACCGCTCTGTCTCCTGTTACCAGGTTTTGTAAGTGAATTTGTTGTGATAAAACATTGACCATGACCAATATCATGTTTATATTTTCCAGAACATAACATTTACACCACTGTTTTACAGTTACTTTTGTCAGTTACTATGTATATTAATATCAAACATACAAAGAGCAATAATGTTAGAAACTGTGTACCTATTCATGTACAAGACCCATAACAAACACTAACGTTATTGAGGCTTTCATCAAAGCTTGGACCAAAGATATCAATAAATGTTCATTTTTACATGTAAACCAATTATACTTAGACAATTAACAATAATGCATTATCAGTGCATTTTAACCAAAAATAAAGCATACAAGCAGATGTCATTTCGTTTGCACCAGTTATTCCATTATCCTACAACTGGTCCCTTAGGAGTCTAGTCGCATCGTATGTATATATTTATTTCAAGTACTGAGTCTTATGTTTACTTTTTCTTATTTTGGTCAGGGTAAATTTGGCTCTAATAAAGGTAAGTTCCAAATAAAATAAATACATAATTATAAGGTGTGGATATTTTAAATTAACAATAAGACCACACTGTTTCACACAGACACAGCTCTTTTTTTCTGTTTGATAGACCTTGTGTGCTGCAGGTACATGGCTGGTTCCCCGTTTTGAATAACTCATATGAGAAAGATTATCCTGCTTTGTGCCACTGCGCATCAACACATCTCCAAATTTAGAAGAAGTAAGTCTTTCACTTCTGGCATCTAAACACGGGTCAGTTTTATGTTGATCTCTTGTTAAATTCTCGATACGGTGGGCATCTTCCTCTAACCCATGCATACAATCAAATAATGCCTTCATTTCATCCTGACAATCACTGGAATGAAGGTCTACATGATCACAATATGAAACGGAAATGTTATGAAGGGGAGACAGAGAGGGTTTCATGTTTGATGGTGTAGAAGGATTAGAGACGGGATACGCGATCGAGGTCATAGATGCCAGCAGTAGGGAGACAGAGAGGGTTTCATGTTTGATGGCGTAGAAGGATTAGAGACGGGATACGCGATCGAGGTCACAGATGCCAGCAGTAGGGAGACAGAGAGGGTTTCATGTTTGATGGTGTAGAAGGATTAGAGATGGGATACGCGATCGAGGTCATAGATGCCAGCAGTAGGGAGAGAGAGGGTTTCATGTTTGATGGTGTAGACGGATTAGAGACGGGATACGCGATCGAGGTCACAGATGCCAGCAGTAGGGAGACAGAGAGGGTTTCATGTTTGATGGTGTAGAAGGATTAGAGACGGGATACGCGATCGAGGTCATAGATGCCAGCAGTAGGGAGACAGAGAGGGTTTCATGTTTGATGGTGTAGAAGGATTAGAGACGGGATACGCGATCGAGGTCATAGATGCCAGCAGTAGGAAGACAGAGAGGGTTTCATGTTTGATGGTGTAGACGGATTAGAGACGGGATACGCGATCGAGGTCATAGATGCCAGCAGTAGGGAGACAGAGAGGGTTTCATGTTGATGGTGTAGAAGGATTAGAGACGGGATACGTGATCGAGGTCATAGATGCCAGCAGTAGGGAGACAGAGATACGTGTAAGGATGTGGCCAGGGTCTATATACTAAATTTACTGCTCATCAAGAGATCACATCAAGTGAGAAAAGCGACAGTAATAATAGCAAGAAATATAAGTAAACAGATAATGACTTTGTCAAGAACACTATGTGTAAGTGTATGTGAAAACATTTGATATAATTGGTGTCACAGAAACTTGCTTGGGTAATGTAGAGGATGTAAAAGACACTTTCACGGACTTTACTCTTTACAGTAAAGATGCTAGAAGACTGACCAAGACAGGCATACGTTCAGGTGGGATAATAGTACATGTAAAGAATATTAATCAACTACATCGATAAATTAAATGGTTTAAAATAAAGGAAAATTGTATGTATGAATTTTTGTCTGTTGACTGTAAAAGTGGCATCGATATATTTCAAAATGGTTTGTTGGACATTTTATCAGAATTTAGAGATGCTAATGTCATTTGTGAGGGAGACCATAACACCAGAACAGGAACGAAGTTGGATTTTGTAGAAGATGACATTATTGAATATATCGAAGCGCTGGAATCTCAAGCTGGGATTTTATGTGCGATTGTTTCAGCTTAAATCAAGTTTCAAGTGATAAAAATGTAATCAATTTCGGTAAATGTTTGTTCGAGTTGTGCTCGTCATGCAACATTCATGTCATGAACGGAAGATCAGGAATTGACCGTAAAATTGGGGATTATACCTACATTGGCCAAAGGGGACAAGCGTTATCGACTATCGGCAGCATTTTTTGCCAATGACTTTTTTCTCCAATCACGTGCAGTCACCTCATCTCCCGCTCACCCTGAAGGTTACAACTTGTGAAGTTTGGGCAATAACACTGGTAACCATCAAAACTCATTCGGATTTAAATGGGTCTTTAAAAAGTGTGAATTACTTAGAGAAAACATCTTATCGGACCACTCACAAGAATTACGTGATAAATCTGTTGATATGATTTTGATAACATTGATAGAAGTATAGAGTTTATTACAGATGCATTATGTGTCGCGGCAAATGACATGAAAGAACCGGCTGGAGAAAGTAAACACCATAATGATTTTTTTATACTGAATGTGAACAGTTGAAACGTAAAAAATGTAGAGCATTGAATAGGTAAACTGAGTAAACTGACTTATCCTCTTCTACCTTGCCACGTTTCAGATGAAGAATGTTGCATTTGTCGAGTCCAAAGGACATGCCAATATCATTAGATAAGGAATCGACAATAAAAATATGTTTTTTAAGTGTGGATAACCTTCCTCTTTGCTAAGCAAAAAG